AGGGTCAGTCATACAAAGAACCATGGCATCAACAGATACTAGGTTTGAGGTGGAGATGTTCAGCGGAACTGGAAACCTTGGGTTATGGCAGACAAAGATGAACAATTTGTTGGCACAACAAGGATGCTTGAAGGCGTTGTGGGGTGTCAAGCCAGTTAAGATGGACGATGATGGTTGTGAGGAGTTGCAGATGGTTGCAGTCAGGAAAGTTCGGCTCAGGTCAAACACATAGGGCAGTTGGCCTGGACAGTTTGACGGATCGACGCAAGTCGGTTGGTACAGAAGACGGTGGTGAGATCGGCGACGATGACTTAGGAGTGTGGTGATGATGGTGACTGACTTCTGGGCGTGGAAACACGTGGCGCAGGCCTGAGGGCTTGTGTGGCTTCGATAAGACTATGGCGCGGGGTTAATTCAAGGTGGTGTACACACGGAGCTTGATGTCGACGGGGCGCGAGGGTGGAATGATCATCTACCATGGAGTCATGTTGAACATGGAGCTGGATTGAGGGGCTACGATGTAAGGATCTAGAGAATCGAAGCATATTTCAGCTGGGGGGAAAGCGAGTGACACTTAGTTCGGACTGGAGCCCAGTGGTCCGATGGAAGCGTGAGACTCGTCATCGGTCGGTGATGATCGATGGTACTCTACAGTGAGGGTTGAGTGGTGTGGGTTCGTGGCCCTTGAGACTCGACCGGGACGGCAGAGGCTCGACGCGGTACTAGAGGCAAGGCGTGCGGTACGCACGGGACATGGAGACGGGCCAGGGCTCTGGTGGTCATACATGTGGTGAGACAACTGCGAATTTGACTCGGGATGACTACAAGCAACGGTGAAATTCCTTCAAGTTTCAGACATGCGGTCAAGAAAGGAGCGGTGGTGTTGAGTTCAGGTAACTCTTATGTGTGACACCCAATATGTGAGTTGTTCACTTTCACACAGGTCAGTGATCGGTGTGTGATGGCGTTGGACTGATACTCTGTAAGTTGGGAGCGCAAACTAGAGTAATGTGGAACTTAATTTCGCTCGGGTGTTGACTGTGGTCAAGAAAAGAAAAGGGACTACAAGTTGCAAGTGGAGTCATATGAAGTCTTTGGAGTAGCAGCGGTGCTCATGGGATAAGCTCAAGTCCAATGTACATGGAAGTTTGACGCATTGAAGAATTCAAGGTGGTGGAGAATATTCGCCAAGGTGGAGTTTGTTAGAGTTCTGTCGAATATTGTGTACAAGGTATGTTACAGTTGGACTTGTAATAGAATTGTGTTTATATAGGATATGGAGTCATGTCCTAATAGGAAACTTGTATCCTAGGCCTCTCATATATAGCGGGGGTAGACACACGATGTAACCTATGCCAACATAATAGCACCAGAACGCAGGGGAAGCCGGCGGCATGTGCCGGTGTCCAGGGTGACCGGGTGCGGTATTATGGCGGTGTCATGGGGAGGATCGCCCATAGTCAGGCCCCGGGGATGTAGCCATATTGGTGAACCTCGTTAACAAATCTCGGCGTCGTGCTTGTGTGATTGCTTGGTCCTCGGATGATCAATAGTTGCCTCGGATTTATTCTAACAATAATCACCCAGTTATGTTGTGACGTTTGATGGCACACAAGACATTCCTCCGGTGTCCAGGAGTTGCATAATCTCATAGTCGGAGGAATATATATTTGACATGAAGAAAGCAGTAGCAATAAAATTGAACGGTCATTATGCTAAGCTAATGGATGGTCTTGTCCATCACATCATTCTCCTAATGACGTGATCCCATTCATCAAATGACAACACATGTCCATGGCTAGGAAACTTAACCATCTTTGATCAACGAGCTAGTCAAGTAGAGGCATACTAGGGACATGGTGTTTTGTTATGTATTTACACATGTATCAAGTTTCCGGTTAACACAATTCTAGCATGAATAATAAACATTTACCACAAATAAGGAAATATAAAATAACAAGTTTATTATTGCCTCTAGGGCATATTTCCTTCATAACATTGGTTACTAAAGGCAATGAGATGAAGCAATCAATTGTCGGGAATCAAAGTGCTAAATCTGAAGAAAAGAAGTTGAAAGTGCACAAGGTAAACAAGAATTGTCATTAGTTCATACAAAATCACAGCCGGGGCACCCACTCGGCTTATCGTATTGGCAAAAGAAGAAATTACAAAAACTTAGTGCACAAGAGCTTGAAAAGAGAAACATGGCATGGGTTCCCAAAGGAAATAATCAAGACAAGAGTGATGTGCAAGGTTCCATTGCAAGAAGTGCGACAAAGGTAAAGAAGGAAAAGAGTGAAAATTATGAACGACCAAGCCAAAGGTTTCAACGTCTTCGGTGCACACATTATCCACATTCTCCAACTATTCCATTGATGCCAATGACATGGAAATCATCCTCAGGTATGACTGGTTACCCTCCATGGACTTATTTTGATCCTTGGACGCAATATAACTTCTTACAACATGCAAGGGTTTTACCTCATCACCATACATTCAATTAGTTGTATTTTGTTGCTAATCAAAGTGGCTGATATATAACTATAGCCCTAAGCAAAGACATGACCGATATATAATTATCTCCCTAAGCACATATAAATGGACAATGGAGTGTTGACATCGTCCTTAGAACAAACCCTGGGCAAATTATTTTTCGGCATCCAAGTTTTGCCCAAAAATAGGGGGGCATGTGTTGACACCAGATTTTGGCACGGTCAAGAACTTAATTAATATGAACTCAAATGGAGAAGTGATCTACATGAAAAAGTTTCGTATTATCGACATAAACATCTTTGAAATTTGGGTCATCTCCATCCAACCTCATCTCAAGGGCCGAAACTCAAAGTATTAAGATTTTGTATTCAGAGTATTGTTCGGCCAATTAAGCCTCCAAGATGACATCATATTAGAAAAGTTTCTACATGGATTGCCTTGTTGAAACGGTTGATTTTGATATAATAATTGTCTCAATCCGAGTTCGTATGCAAAAGTTAGAGCCATCAGAGTGCAGCCGTACCACGAGGCAAAAAGTGGCGCGAGACACCAGACGGTCGCGCGAGTGGTTCGGCCCTTAAGATGACTTCAAATCAAAAAACGTTCAACACGAAAGTTGTTCGCCTCGTCGAAACGGTGAAATTTGCTCTTTAGATCATCTTCATCTAAGGCGTTTATGTCATGTGGGACCTAAAAACCGAACTGATGTTCCAAACTTACCTACATCCGAGTTCGGTTAATTTTGGAAAGATTTGGATGTGATTTGGGGTCCTTTTCTTGTACGCGAAGTCCATCCGCCTCTTATATACCTAAGGGGTGACGGCCGATTGAACAATACACAATCGAACAAATCATCTACCATTTTTTACCTTTACTTTTATCTCTCTCCCTTGTTCTTCTTCTTCGTTTTTCGTCTGTTCTTGTTGTTGCAGGGCGGCGATCCACGAGGCCCTAGGGACGATCAGGTCAACCTAGAGCATCCCATAGCCGCCACGCGCCCTGCCGGGTCCCTCCCGGGCGTGTGTGGTTTTGGGTCTATAAAAGCATCCACCAGTTATCCTGCGTATCGCGCTGCCGGTCGGGTCTCCCTCGACGCGAGTTGCGGTGTATCACCCCCGGCATCGAGGGTACACGGTGACGTATTCGTGTGCGAACAATGGTCACATCACACGTGAAGGTCACTGCATGCATGCTTCTGCAAATAAAACACCCCCCCCCCCCACACACACCCCCGCGCGCGGGGATGCATGCATACATTAGAGCAACTTACAGTTCGCCCTAAAACGATTTTATGGGCAGTTATGCCCTGGCACAGAATAGATCTTGCAAAATTTAACTTAAGATAAGCTACGTTCCCGCTACATAATTCATCCGGAACACACATGAGATCATCAACATTTAACTAAAACATAGATAAAAGGTAGAACTAGCATGACGACGGCTCACGGCTTTACATTGAGGTAGTACTCTGTCGCCAACCGCTAGAGAATGCTGGCGAGCTCGTACTCCTCCTTCGCCGCCTCAAGCCGGGCAGCGGCACCATTTTCACCGCCTGCTACCGCGTCCTTCGCCGCCCCGAGCCAGGCAGCGGCGCCATCTTCATCGGCCGCTGCGTCCTTCACCGCCTCGAGCTCAATTCTCCGCCTTGCGGTGCCTCTTGGTGGTTGGCCAAAGGTGGTCGCCGAGCTTGAGGAAGCGAGCCCATGCGCCTTGGCTGCCTCTACGGGAGAGCACGCCGTGTTCGCAAGCCTGCGTCGAGTGCCATGGCTCGACGGCGGGCTAGCTAGAGTTGTCGGCCTCCACGTCGTGCCAGGCGCGCTTGCGTGGCGACGATCCCCTCCCTCCTCCTTGGCCACCATGCCTGCGTGCCCCTCCCATCATTTATTTGAAGGAAATGGACGACGCGCCGCGGAATCTCTAGCTGGAGTTTGGAAAGGAAGGGGGTGGAGAAAGGAGCCGACAGAGAAAATGAAGGATGCGAACCCTAAATCACCTCGCGACCGGCAGATGTAGTGGCTGGGATCGATTTTGCGGGCCACTCGTATACTTTTGACGGGCCAGACCAAATATACAACATATGTTCGAGCCACAAAATAAGCAAATACACTAAATCCGTTAAAAATATCCGAGCCGGCGGCTATAGCGCATCTGCTAGAGTTACTCTTAATTGGAAATATCACTTCCCAGCACCATCGAACAAAAATGCTTGTTGACCAGGAGCCTAATAACAAACCAAGTCGCTACGTGCACTCACTCGTGTACCCAGCCAGATCCACTAATTAACGGTCAGCTCCTCATTGGCCAGATTTACCCTGCAAAAAAAAAGAACTATAAAAAACAGCAAAAAAGAATCCTAGCTATATAGAGTATAGTATATATAATATAATATATGTAGTATTACTGTCTAATTCGGGAGCGCATGCAGGAGGTGTCCGAGCTGCCGCTTCTCCCGCCACTTCTCCAGGATCTCCAACCCACCTAGAACTCTATATAAGCAACAACCGTTCATGTGCTTCACTTGTTCTTCTCCTGCTCATTCATATCCGCCATCCGACTCAATTCTTATCGAAATTTGGTAAGTGCCCAAACACCGCTCCTCCTCCTCGGGTATCAATTTACAATTTTGTTGGGTGTGAAGAAGAAGAGGGGGTTTCTTTTTCTTGTTGCCCAGAAATTGCAGTACCACGAGTACCTTTACTTTTTCTTTCTCCATTGGTAGTTCATTTGGAAGGAAATTCATGATGATTTCCTTGGCTGGGCATTGGGGAATTGTAGGACAATGGCCGAAGGCAAGAAGGACAATCCGAAGCTGAACCAGCGGGTCGTATCATCTCTCTCGAAGCGAACTGTGGCGGCACATTCTTGGCATGATCTCGAGATAGGTAAATACATACACATATCCTAATAATGTCTCGCCTTCCATCAAAATTGTTTTTCCCCGATCAGTGTGTAAAGTATATTTCTGAACGCTCATATATATAATCTGATGTATGAAATCTCCAAATTCTAGGACCTGAAGCCCCTCAAATCTTCAACGTTGTAAGCATCTTGACATACTCTATTGCCTTGGCACGCTGTGTAAATTATAGCAAATAGTTCGGATGCATCATAGTCTTTCACGCATTTAGGTTGTTGAGATCACAAAGGGGAGCAAAGTCAAGTATGAACTTGACAAGAAGACTGGGATGATCAAGGTACACACACATTCCCCACTTTCAGCTTGGCGGTGTATGACAGGAAACCTTAAGAAAATTCTTGTCACAATGGAGAACATTAAAATTAAACTGTTTCTCTAGGTTGACAGGATTTTGTACTCGTCCGTAGTCTACCCACACAACTACGGTTTCGTACCACGGACGCTGTGTGAAGATGGGGATCCACTCGACGTCTTGGTCCTGATGCAGGTGAGTTTTGCACTACTGATGTCAAGTTTATTCAACTCACAAGGTGAAGCACATTGTGTCCGAGAATGTTTTACGAGTTCTGACTAACCTACACCTTGATAGGAACCTGTCATTCCTGGTTGCTTTCTTCGAGCTAAGGCTATTGGGCTTATGCCCATGATTGATCAGGCAAGATAGTTTTTTCTAAGAGTTTCATTTTTGTTCCAAAGAATCAAAGCGCCCAGTTATTAAGAAAATCTCACATTATGTCTGCCTGATACCGTGATTACTTTTTGGAACAAAAAGGGTGAGAAAGATGATAAGATCATTGCAGTCTGCGTTGATGACCCTGAGTACCGTCATTTCAATGACCTTAAGGAGCTCTCTCCCCACCGCCTTGCTGAAATCCGTCGCTTCTTCGAAGATTGTACACTCAGTTTCCTCACATATTATCGGATTTTACGTCAACCATAGCGACATAAATGGTTTCCTTAAGTGCTTAAGTTTATTTGATGTTATGCATCTGCAGACAAGAAGAATGAGAACAAGGAGGTTGCTGTGAATGACTTCTTGCCATCCAACACTGCACAGGTTGCCGTTCAGCACTCAATGTGAGTTGTTTCTGAAATAGCTTTACAGGGTTATCTATCAACAATTAGTTATGCATATGCATTTCAGAGGCATGCCTCCTCCACACTATAATGAGATGCAAACTGACACCATCTACAGTTAAAACATGTTTATGTTACTACATAAGGATGTCTACTGAAGCTAATTTAACATACATTACCTGATTTAAGATAGATTTGTAGTTAAAGCATACTCACTTTGTTTAAATTATTTGATGTTCTAGCTTTGCACAAAGTCAAACTTCTTTACATTTAACGAAGTGTATAAGAAAATATGCTAATATCTTCAACATCAAACATATATAGTACAGTACAAAAATATATTTTATGATGAATCTAATGAATGGTGTTGTATATTTTGATATTACAGACTTCGTCAAGCTCTTTCTTTCTTTTGACTTAGAACAAAGTTGCAACTTTAAAATAATTTCGAACAGAGAGAGTACAATATATTATTATTGACCATTCTGCCGCTGTTTCAGGGACCTATACGCAGAATATATCCTGCAGAGTCTGAAGAACTAATCTTAGTTGCAAACTTGCAAGGCTGCAGAAACCACCCACGTGGTCTCGTAAGAGAACGATAATCGACTACATGGCTTTTATTTAAGGCCCATTTTTCCCTATATATTTAAATAATGGAACAATGCTATTCCCATACATATTTTTCTGCAGAACATTGTAATCAAGGACTGATGTTATACTTGTGCATAGTGTTTCATAATATTTGAATCAACACTTGAAACATTTAGTCTTGCCCTGTTGGCCTGAATTTCAAAATAATTATTTGGAAAAGGCGATTACCAATCTTAAAGCAAAGCAGTTAACACCTTTGTGTGTGTATGACTTTGAAGTGCATGGTGTGTGCTCCGGAGCATGTACTTTATTCATATGTATGTACATGTGAGTACCTCCGAGTCCCGGAGCTGATAGTTATCAGCATCGTCACAAGTGTTGTTAAAATTTCAAACAAGTGTGATTGTTGAGATTAATATACATGCATAAGAGCAACTCCAGCAGGGTCGCCATACCATATCGGGCCAATTGGCATAATAACCTCCGAAAAGGCCACTCTAGCAGGTACGCCATCCTCTTCCAGCCAATGGCGCAGATGGCCATGGCATTGGGAAGCGTGTTAGCTAATAGCATCCGCCTCGTGCCAACTTCCCGCAGCCACTGCCGCCATATTTGCATTGGGAGGTGTGTTAGCTAATAGCATCCGCCTCGTGCCAACTTCCCGCAGCCACTGCCGCCATATTTTTCAGTCGCCCGCTGCTATAAAATGGTCTCCACTTGCTCACCACCGCCGCCCACAATATACACGGACGTTTTCGAAACGAAGGTAAAAGATTTGCCTCATCGATTAATTAAGTAGAAGAGAGTTGCCCAGTTAATCAACGGAAAACCGGGCAAAAACCGATACAAACCAACCACATGTGGACTACTCACGAAGCATGCAACCCCGTAAAAGCACCAACCTGACAACCATACCCAACACATAACGACCACCAACCCCCACACTACTACATCGCAAAGAAACCCCTAACGAGAGTAACACAGCCGAAGACCACATGCACCACCAAATCCGCGCTGACAACTCAGACCATAAGGACAACCCAAGGGACTGATGACCATCAATCAAGCAGCTGCAGACGCCTTTCTTGTGGCGCCACTCTTCATTCTCTTGCTCCTGAGAGCCTCCTCTACAATCGTGTTGCCAGATCCAGGGTTAGCCGCCTCCAAACGTTTGAGCAAGCTGTGAATCTCTATCTGAAAGAGAATATCATTGATGTCACGCACAGAAACCTGCCCAATGGTCTCGTGCGAGTGAGTGACTGTAACATCGGAATCTTCACGCTCCACAATGGCGAGCAGCTGGCTGGGCTCCAAAGGATCAGGCGCCAACATGTTGACCGCCTCAACATTATTAGTCACAGATACCATCGACACGATGTACTCAAACGCCTCTAGTTGCTCACATGACCTAGGCGAATCCTGCCCCTCAACAAGGTTCACCTGCGAGATGACCTCCACATGCTCCAAAGACTGAGGCGAAGCAGGTCTCACACATAGTTGTTGAAGCTCGGGCATAATTTGCAACACAGGGGCAACGACCACGGCGATGTCCCTCGCTTACAGCGGCAGACATCGACGACAAGTTGTCCCCAACTCAAGGGGAGAAACAACCATAGAGCTCTTCATCCATGTTCTCCACTGAGCCACCAACAATATCAACCTGACTAACAACATCAACCTGACTAGAAGGACGCAACATAGGAGTGGACTGTAGCACAACCGACACAAGAGAGAGCTTGTCCACGGCCGCCTCCGCCCGCTCCAGAAAGCTCCCAACACGCATCAACAGTTTGGCCTGAGTTGCTAAAGTGGACTGCAACAACACATCGGTTGGGGGTGTGCCGAGCCAACATCATCAGAAACAATTGACGGCCAGGACCCTCGATGAAGCGCCTTGTAGGGGATCATGGATTTCATCACACCCCCACAAGAAGCTGGAGCTCGACAATGCTCGGTGCTGAGGCGAGACAGTGGTTCGGTGGACATGGCAGCGGCTAGCACAGTGAGGTCGATGTTGTTGGTCAGTCAGCGGAGAACAGGGTTGTGGAGAGAAAGTATGGACGCTCCTGGAAATTACGCTCCCCTACAGGAGGCGATCTCCGGGCGATCGACCGCCGGTGCTCCCTCGCCGCCGCGGGAACCCACTACACCCCCCCCCCCCAACTAAGAGAGAAAGAGAACCTACATCCCTGCTGCACCGCGATCCTAGTGAGGAGGACCCGATGGGTCTCCATGAGATCCGGAAGAAGATGGGAGTAGCGATCCGCTCGCTGGCTCATCGGAAGAGGACGGGGGCAGGATCTTCGGCAGGATTGAAGGGATGAAAAGATCCGCAAGAGTTATTGGGACGCCTCCGTGAAGGGATGGAGCGATTTCGCAGATCCATGGAAGGAAACATATCAAGGCCAAAGGCAGCTGACACCGGTATGGATTGGAGCCAGGGGGGCACAATCTGGTAAGTAAAATTACATCCCCGTCGATCAAATCTACTTTGACGATCGCCAGTACCATACGGGCTTGCGAATCCTCGGTTCTTGGGAATGGATCGGAAGCAGATGCGAGTTTTGTGGGCGAACTAAGGAAAGCAAAGATTTGCAAGGATATAGCCTCTGAACTGACCCAAAAAGTGGAAATATACAGATAGTGAATCTCAATGATCATGAGGGGAGCAAGTGCAAGGAAACAGTTCTCGATGCCAAGGAAAGTATCAGGGCGAGTGATCCTGAATCAGCCATACGGGTATTCTTTCAGAAACATAGAATTGCTTCCCAAACTGGGGATCCACCTGACAAATTTGCAAGGCCCAAATCAACCATGATTGATCCCTCGCCTTATGCACACCACAGCTGCGGGTACAAAAGCATCTGCATAGGAGGGGAAACCACCACACTGCATCCGCAAGAAATCCACACACTCACATCTGTACACGGCATGGAGAACACCTCTGACTGCAAGATGAAGCAGGCGACCACAGAGAGCAAGCTCGTGGCCATCCCTGCAAACAGCAACGAGTGCAAGGGCAGGAGGATGGAGCGAGGATCTACCTCGCATGGTGGGAAGAGGGGCAATGCTCTGCCCCCTAGGCCAAAAAACAACACCGACTGATTGGCGTGGCGCTCCAACGATCGAACTCGATCTGACAAGGGCAAGGGCTGCCATGAGTACCCGCTGACTCGCGGTGGGGTATTTCTTCTCCGTGCTCCCCTTCAGCACGGCAAGGTTGTTTGGTGAACTGAAGAGCAAGTGGGGGCTGCGTGGAAGACTCGACTACACACCTCTACGCAACAATCGCTTCATGCTCGAATTCGAGCGTGAGGGCGATCGTCGGCACGTCCTGGAGAACGGCCCATGGACGCACCGTAAGGATGCTTTCCTCATTGTTCCCTTTGATGGACAGGGCAAGGCGGCGGATGTGCCGGTGAATGCCATGCCAATCTGGGCTCGCATCTATGATGTACCACAGCTCATGCTGTCGGAAGAGATCGGATGGATGCTGGGCGGCCTCTTGGGGAAAGTTTTGAGGGTAGATACTGATAAGTTTGGGAACATTTTCTCTGAGTTTCTTCGTGTAAGAGTTGAACATAATGTAAACACTCCTCTCCTGCGTGAGATCAGTACTAGAGAGTTAGGGGTGGATAAGCACATGGACCTAGAGGTCAAGTATGAGAGATCTCCACGATTTTGTATGTACTGTGGCCATATAGGTCATGGGGAAAGGGACTACAGGCTGCCGACGGATGATCAAGCAATGAGATTCATGGGCGCAATGAGGGCGTCGCCCTACAAATCAAGCAAGAATAAGGGAGGCTTCGTGGCTCCGGATGCTTGCAGCGCCAGGCGATTCTTGAATTTTGGTTCAGAGTTGGACGGGGTGGCATGGACAACCCCGGCCAAGTTAGTCTGGGAGAAGCTAGGCAGAGACAAGAAGGTGATGCATGCCCGATTACAGGAGATGGTAAGGTGCAGGGATATTCCTGATGATGTGCTACTGGATCCGGCTGTACAAGCAGCCATCGTAGCAATCAGCGCGCTCAGAGTGAGCGAGGGGCCAGACCAGAAAGACGTCATGACCCACAAGTATAGGGGATCTATTATAGTCCTTTTAATAATTAAGAGTGTCGAACCCAACGAGGAGCAGAAGGAAATGACAAGCGGTTTTCAGTAAGGTATTCTCCGCAAGCATTGAAATTGTAGGTAACAGATAGTTTTGTCATAAGATAAATTGTAACGGGTAGCAATGCAAGTAAATAAAGTGCAGCAAGGTGGCCCAATCCTTTTTGTAGCAAAGGACAAGCCTGGACAATATCTTATAATGAGAAAAGCGTTTCCGAGGACACATGGGAATTATCATCAAGCTAGTTTTCATCACGCTCATATGATTCGCGTTCGGTACTTTGATAATTTGATATGTGGGTGGACTGGTGCTTGGGTACTGCCCTTACTTGGACAAGCATCCCACTTATGATTAACCCCTATTGCAAGCATCCACAACTACAAAAGAAGTATTAAGGTAAGCCTAACCATAGCATGAAACATATGGATCCAAATCAGCCCCTTACGAAGCAATGCATAAACTAGGGTTTAAGCTTCTGTCACTCTAGCAACCCATCATCTACTTATTACTTCCCAATGTCTTCCTCTAGGCCCAAATAATGGTGAAGTGTCATGTATTCGATGTTCACATAACACCACCAGAGGAGAGACAACATACATCTCGTCAAAATATCAAACGAATACCAAATCACATGACTACTAATAGCAAAACTTCACCCATGTCCTCAGGAACAAAAGTAACTACTCACAAATCATATTCATGTTCATAATCAGAGGAGTATTAATATGCATTAAGGATTTGAACATATGATCATCCACCAAATAAACCAATTAGCATCAACTACAAGGAGTAATCAACAGTACTAGCAACCCACAGGTACCAATTTGTGGTTTTG